TTTTAAATGAGCATTCAACTTACTTACCGAATATATACAAATTTTACTTAGTAGTTATATATTTTTACTTAGCGCTTGAATAGGTGCCTTATTATAAACTGTTAGTATAGAGATTAACATGCTTAGAATCGATTTTATATTTCTTTCATTCTCACTAAAAGTATACCGATTATCTTAAGCTTTGAAAATACTTTCTAGGTCGTTTGATGTCATCATTAGAAATAATAAAATTATCTAGAATAAAAATGACAGATAGATTTATCCATTTGAGACTAGACAAGTCAAAACATAATCATAGTATGATCTAGATGATGAAAAGAACTGTTTTTTGATGGGTGGGAAAGGAAAACATGATAGAAATTTGTTGTTTCTCCTATAAATATATAGTGTCAATAAATTTGAAAGCGTATAAAAAAAACAGGAAGTCAATAAGCAGTGTTATTATTTGAATTAATTCAATTAATATGATTGAAGACAATTCTAAAAATATTTTCATAGAAAAAGAAAAAGAAAAAGAATTTAATCCGATTGTATTTAGAAACCAGGTTATCGATTAATAATGAAAATGTATATCAGAACGCAGTGCTCTCGTCGTACATTCTTAGAATTATATCAATCAATGAACTTATGACTTTTATCAATGTCGCCTCATGAACATTGATAATTATTTATTTATCATTTTTACTAGCCTTTCATCGTTTTACTGTTAACTAAATAAATCATTTTCAATAAGTATAATTGACATCCATGAAACAGCATCTGTATATATTACATATGACTTATCTGCAATATGTTAAGCATACTTTTACTTCTGACATGATCATTCGTCTTTTTAGTTTTTAATCATATATTTTCATGATATTTAAATGGTAATTCATATCGTATAAATATAAAATACTTCACCGTGTTTTCTTTTACATTGAGTTTTCATATTTATATAATATATCCAATTAAAGATCTTATTTATAGAATATTTCTAAGATTATCAACACGGGAGAAAATAAAACTTCTTTCTATTTTCATCACATACAAAAATCTAAGTATAGAATGAACTACAAGTATATGTTCATTAACATGCAACTAATTATGAATGTGATGTTCAAGGTATGTCTATTCCTTATATTATTATGTATCAGACATCTCGACATGAGAAAGAGAGGAACTGTTTTTACAATATTTACATGCAATTAGTAGCTTAATATATTCATTATTTAATTAACTGTCTAGATTAAATGATATATTAATTATATAATCATTATTATATGTAACGTTTTATTTATTCTAATCATGAATCATAATTATGTATTCTTTTGTTATTGATATATAAATGTTTCATTTGTCTAGTTCTATCTTGATGTAAGAATATATTTATTTTCTTTTTTAATTAAAAATATTCTATTTGACCTAAAGCTTCAAATCAATTATCAAACACAATTTTCAATCCTTAAAACCACCTGTGGATTTAAGCAGATTTTCTCATATATATATATATATATAATGTTATATTATTCTTTTTTTTATCTATAAATAATCATACTTACAAGGTTGTTTTCTTTTGTTTTTCTATTACCAAACTACGTACTTTGCATCAACTAATAGACTCTATTTTAGTCTAGATTTAATTTTCCGAGAGTTTTTTTCTTTATTATTTATTTTTCGAGTTTAGTACTAGACCGGGAACAACGGATAGCAATGTTGAATTATCTCTTCTCAAGCACGCAAAAATTCATTTCCGGTATATGTCTTTATTGATATTTTTTTTCCATTACTAGACTCTTAGATTTTTCTTTATATTCTTTCGTTTTTTTTCTTAGATTATTTAACCAACAACAAGGAAGTTCTTAGATTTCTATTATCAAATATAAACTATACTTTATCTGGAACAATATACTAAATACAACTGTAGTTTATTTTTATAATACAAAGCAAGATATTTTTACGTTTATATGGTTGTTCCGTAACCTGTCATCAAATATTAATACAAATTCTTCGTCAATTTTCTGTCAATTTAAATTCATATCAAAAACATTTTTCTTAAATTTTATCATAAAAGATCTAAATTTAGGTTCAACACAATATTATTGTGATAAGTGACAAAGTACATTTACGTCTTCTAGAAAAATATTAAAAGCAGTTAATTAATAATTCAAAAGTTCTGTCAATTTCGCACATTTATTAAACGGTATTTTAAGATAATGATCTCTTGTCAGGAATAAGTAGACTATTTTTTTTTCTTGTGGAAAAAAAAAGAAGAAAAAAGAAAAAGAAAGAGACAGAATAATGTGAAAGAAAATGGTGGCAATTAAAAACTATCAAAGATAAATTATGTATATTAAAAAAGAGAGAGTTGACATTTTGTTTATGATGATGTTGAATATGATAAAAGATACTATTCGAAATATTATTATATGACCAGTTTATCTGACGTCAATAATTTTTAACAGACACTCAATTATTTCTCTCTTCCTGTAAGCAAGTTAAATGAAGCACAAATTTACATTCTATTGAAAAAATGAATCTACTATTCTTTCATGATAACATACTTTTATAAAAGGAAAAAAGAAAGTATTTCTTCCTCTTAGATATCTTATTTTACATTAATATACAAAATGGCAAATTTAACATATACAATGTATATTAATACAACTTCTCTATCTCCACAATCAACAGTATCCATTGATTATAATGCATTAGGAGATCGTATTGGTACAATAATCTATTCTATTATATATATGTTAGGATTTATCGGTAATCTACTTGCTCTTATTACATTTTCTAGTAATCGTATGCGACAAATTTCAAGCAGTATATTTCTTCTTATACTTTCGATTTGTGATACAATTGCACTTATAACATCATTATGGTTTTTTTTGGCAGATGCATTTTCTATTCAATTACAAAATTATTCAGCACTTGCATGTCGTTTTCGAACATTTTTTGCATATGTATTTATGGATTTATCATCATGGTGTATTGTTGGTTTAGCATTCGATCGTTTTTTACGTACAGAAATACCTTTACGTGCTAAAATTATATGTACACCACGTAATGCATTAATTATGATTTTAATCTTTTTTCTTATTCTATGCGGTATTAATGGACATTATTTTTCAGCTGGTATTGGTCAAGAACGTGGTGGAAATCGAACAACAGCACATTGTTTAGAAAATCGTGATGAATATCCAACCTATTATTTTTTCTATAAAATTATATGGCCGAAAATTGATATGATCGTTTTTTGTTTTTTACCTGCGTGTATAATGATATTTTGTAATGTACGTATTATTTGTATACTTCGACGACAACGTCGACATTTTGAAAATGTTGGAAATGAAAATGGACATACAAAAATAACAAATATACAACAAACATTAAATGGTAGTCAGACAATTAAAAAAAAACCCTTATCACATAGAAGATCTATTGAACGACAAATGTCATTAATGATGTCATCATGTGTTATTGTATTTCTTTGTACAACAGTACCAGTGACAATTTATCTTATTTTACTTGAACAAGTTATTGTTAAATATCCAGATTTTGCTCGAGATAATGCTTATTATGTATTTATATTCCGTATACTTCGTGCTATAATGTATATTCATTTTGGTTGTAATTTTTATTTATATTGTTTAACAAGTCGAATATTCCGTGGTGAATTTTTACAAACTATAACATGTCGAAGAATAATGATTAATACAAATCAAGATGCCACAACAAGTTTTGTACTCAATAAAATTGTTGATGCATCAAATGTATAATGTTAAGAAATTCATTAATTTAATATAAGACGATTTTCTGATCATGGATTACTTATTCATATAATCAAAAAACAAAATTAATCTTCAAATCTTGTAATTATTTACGTACATCATGATGAATCACGAAGATATAGACATTATTTATAGCTTGAAGAAATTCATTAAAATTAAAAATCTAGAACATTAATTTACTAATAAATGATTTAACAGAAGAGAAAAAAAAGTTATCTTTTAAATGAATAACATCGCAATATCATTTTTTATTGTTCAGCCCAAGGTTATAAATTATCTGGAAGAGTACTTAACTCAATTAACTATTATTATATCTCTTTGTTCAAGATAATAGAGAATTTTAAAAAAGATTGATTATTAAATATTAACAAATTAGTGTCGCTTTGTTGTACTCTTGATTATATCATACGAGAACTTTTTTTCAATTAATAGAACAATACATTCTTTTTTTTACGTAGGTGTTGTCACTTTGAAATAATGCAGTAAATGTTTCGATAATAAATATATGACACTCAATATTCTATCAGAAATGTCCCTGAAGTATACATATCACTAGTGAAATTAATCTATTTTATTATTAAACACTTATTTTGTGTTAAATATGATAAATAACCCACGTGAGATAAATAATGTTTACTACTACTTCTGAACGCATCAATTACTTTTATTCGACTAATAGCATACATATATCAAATTTCAAAATCCCGCCTATTTCAATCTATAATGTTATCCAAAAAAGACTATTTAATTCATTTTATTCGTGTATTCTTCATTGGTCTTTTACTGAGTATATGTTCATTATTATCTTATATTTGGAATAAATATCAACCATTTCATCTTAGTATTGAATTACAACGATGTCAATCAAATATATCGCATATTAATATTTGGAATTGGTTAAATAATTTTCATTTTATTCATTTATTGCCTTCATTATCATTTTTATCAACATTAACATCATCAAAATGTCATTTATATATCAAAGATAATTATCCATTGAATATTAATAAATTTATTGGATTAATTCATTCGATTTTAATTGTTTATCTTGTTTATTATCTTATTTGTTTTTCACTTTTTCATTCTCATATGAAACATATACAAAATCGGCAATATTATTATGCTAAACTCTATCGACATGATCAAAAAAATTCAACATTTAGATGTTCAAATCGTTTATTGAAAACATAAAACAAAGAAATAACATTATTTGTTTTTCTTTTTTATTTATTTAACTTTACGTGCATTCGATCGTGCTTGATCATACAATTTTTTTAAATCATCGGTTAATCGATCATAAATTAAAACACCATTCTCATCAAAATAATTACCAACAGAAGTTAATAATGTTTGTGTTGATTTTGTTGTTTTATCTTTTCCATCATTAT